GCTGCATTAACAGGTCAGCTCATCAGCCAGTAGAAACAGAAGCTACATAAACGGGTCAGGTCATCAGCCAGTAGAAACAGAAGCTACATAAATGGATCAGATCATCAGCCAGTAGAAACAGGAAAAGGCAACCTTCTGCTTTGTTACATACTTCTTTATTCCAGATATGTCTGTCATATTTGACAAATACATGCACGTTTGTTCATACAGCATGAGCATGCATACATTTTACATTTACAATGCTACTTTAAAAATTAAATCCAAATCAAAAAATTAAAGCTGTATCTCAAATAGAATACATGTACTTGGAAGTTTTTTGACATTAAAAAAAGACAACCAGTACATGTAAACCAAAACAGCAGTGTACAAATAAAACAGAGACAAAAGTGCATGTCAATCAGTGGAATCAGGAACACAAATAATACTCCCTGTGGTAATGGGTGTCAGCAAATAAAAAACACAAGAAATGGTTTGACCGTCGAATGCAGATGGATGAAGTCACTACGACATGTAGTCTGTTTGCTATTGCCATTGTAACACTCTGTGTTTGTAGGACTGGCAAAAACACTGTAAATGTAGACTAGAAAGAAGCAGAGAAAGAAGCGATAAAACACCGTCAACCAGACTGCTTGTTGCACAAGTCAGATTTTATTCTCACTAGATCAACTGTATACTTATTTTATGTTTTACAGGACTAAATGTAACAGAGTCAGCAAAACAAATCCATGTAATAATGACAACTGATGTAAGAAACATTGATCAGATGGCAGTCACCAAACACAAATATTTAATCTTGAATATTTATGCAATGAATTTAATTGAGCAAGTGCTAAATTTAACAACCTATTCAGTGTCATTGGTCAAATACCGGTAGTGGACGGTATGAAATAAACAAGAATGTAGGAAGGGTGTATATTTCAATGTTTATTAAAGAACAAAAATGCGTAATGCGGAGACAATTATACTGCTACATGTAAAGCCAAATGTACCATTCTTAATGGTGCCAAAATGAGAATGGGCAGGGCAGCTGGCAGAAACAGCAATAGCTAGGCCAGGCAGATAATATCAGCCACTAGCTAGAAACAGCCACAGTAGGAATGGGCAGGGCAGCTGTGGAAACAGCTATAGGAGGACCAGGCAGAACAAACCAGCCAGTAGAAACAGCAACAGTAGGAATTGGCAGGGCAGCTGGTAGAAACAGCAATAGCAGGACCAGGCAGATCATATCAGCCAACTGGTAGAAAACACCAACAGCAGGAATGGGCAGGGCAGCTGGTAGAAACAG